TTTCTTTCTTTCCTTCCTTTCTTTCTTTCTTTCTTTCTTTCCTTTCTTCCTGTTTGTGCCTCTTTGTTTCCTTCCTTTGTTTCTTTTTTCTTCATTCTTTCTTTCCTTCCTTTCTTTCCTTCCTTTCTTTCTTTCCTTCCTTTGTTTCTTTCTTTCTTTCTTTCTTTCTTTCTTTTCTGGCCCTGCGGCCTCTAGCCGGCTACGCCTCTTTGAAGTTATACCATGCCATGTCATGTTTTTTGCATGAGAAACGTAGCGTGTGCTATGATATGGCTGGTTAGGTTATGCATGTTGCCCACCTTAACCCCAGAAAATGCCGGGGATGCCGGCTTTCTGGGCCCCATCCGGGCCCCAACCCAGAAGGCTGACATGGGGTCGCGCGCGCGCGCGCCAGAGGACCCCAAAAAAACAGCCCAAAAAGAGCAGCCCGCAAGCCAGGCCGGAAACGCAAATGCAACAACACACCGTAAATAGCAGCGTTTTGTGGCTGGGGTCGTGCGCGCGCGCGCCAGAAGGCCAGAGAAAACCAACGCGAAAAAAAGCAAGGACCGCGCAGCGCGCGAGCCAGCCACAGCAAAAGCAAAACGGACAGAACAACAGCCCAACGCTCAGCGCAGCAGTTTTTAGCGGTATTTACAGCGTTTTGTGGAGCGAGGACCCAGCATCGCGGCAGCGCTTGGCGCCAAAATGCGCAATGGACTTGTGCTGTAACCACCCTTCCCGCGCGCCTCCCCCTTTGAGGAGAAGGGGTCGGCGGATTTTGCTTACTTTCTTACTTTCTTACTTTCGATCTTTCTTTCTTTCTTTCTTTCTTTCTTTCTTTCTTTCTTTCTTTCTGTCTATGTATGTATCTTTCTATCTTCCTATCTGAGTCTGACCTTGCGAAAGTGCTGGCTTGCCACAAAATCTGCACCTCAGGGTGCGCAAATCATGCGCCTGCCACTGAATCGGTAAGCAGTTCGAGCGTTCTCTCCAATGCGATTCGCAAATCGTGCGGCTTACCTTCTCAAAGTGCCGCGGCTGTCACGAACTCTGATGCGCGTGTGAACAAAATGCTGCGCCTGCCACGAAATCTGCACCTGACCTTGCGAAAGTGTTGCGCCTGGCTCGCAGTTCAATCCTAGCGAAACCTTGCGCGGCTGTGCCATTGGGCAACTTTCCAGACCGCGGCGAACCCGTACGCTGAACAGAGCTAGCGTTCGCGATCTCGCCAACTGCAACATGCTGCGCCTGCCACACAACTGCTTCCGTTTCTTCTCCTTCTTTTCATTTCTGCTTCGTATTTGTTGCTTACTTTCTCTCTTTGCACGATTTCAACCTTTCGTATCACGGAAGTTTTCTAACTAAATTTCCTGTGATGATGTAGGATCACGATGCGGATTGGCAATTGGTGCTAAGGCGTGCTCTTTTGCGGATCCGAGCAACTTATGACGAAGCCGCCTGTGCAACATAGCGCATCAACGTAGGACTTCAGTTTCCGTTGCAGCCCAGCAGCATTGTGTATGGAGCACACTGCGGGTGAACGAATTGCCCGTGTCGCTTGTTGCATGACGATTTTGTGAGCTTTGGCAGACCGTGGATCCGCCAGGCAAAACCAGAATGATATGCAGCCTGCCTGGAGCTCAGCCTTGGCCACCAGGGTCCACATGGCTGCTGCAGCCTCAAAGGGCGCTATGACCGACAGCTCCTTGAGGTGACATGCGTGGCCTCCTTCCTGCAGCACCTCGCTTTGGGCGACGCGGCCCTCTTGAACAAGCCTCTTTGCTGCATTGCATCACACCATAACTATACCGCTCTTTCTTTTGAGCACAGTCTCTTGCCTGTTGTCGAGGATTCCTTCTGCGAGTTCTAAAGAGTGGGGGCGTGTGAAAAGGAATGAGCTCTCAGGGGGAGGACCTTCAAGAACAAAACCGGAGCTATCAACGCCTGCCTGAAACATTATTTTTGTAGTTTTTGAGATTTTCCTGCCAGCCTTCTTGCAGTAAGGTACCCCTATGCAGTCCTGGCGGCAGGTGCTGTGTATGTTGCCCTATGGGCGACTGAGGCCTGGCCACTCGTTGCTTGTCCTCCACTAGCTCAATGGACATTGGCGATTGGCAATTAAGGGCTAAAATTATGCATAGAGCTTGCAGGCAGGCCCAGAGCGCTATTGCTGTTTGCTAACAAATGCGGCGGCCTCAACAATGGATTTGCGACTTTGGATTTGTTTGGCGATCAATGTTCCTGTGCTTGATTTGCCGCACGACATCTATCAGTCCACTGCATTTGTTTCATGACCCATGCTGCTTGCTCAAGGGGGTAGGTCGATTGAACTTGCTCGTTTTCATGGTTGGGCAGAGCTTCACCAATCGGCAGTTCAGGGATTGAATTGCTCATGCTGCTTTGTGCAGCTGCGGATTTTTTTCCGAATGGTGCACGGTGACCTGCCACCACTACCTTTCTGAGGCGTTTGCAGCAGTGTGCGGTGCTCGGAAAGCAAGCAACTTCAGCACATGAAAACAAGCACATAAAATATGATAACTTTCTTGCACTCTCATGTCATGAGAGCTTTGATAAATGAACATACGCAAACTTGTGCCAAGGTTGCCAATTCATGTTTTTGTTGAATATCTACAAGGGTGATCCGGCTTATATACAGCAAAACTGACGTTGGTGATGTGTTTACAAAGCGATGTGAAAGCTTGGAAGCCCCTTTGCAGGTCCAGGCTTCTCCCGCAAAGACTGTGAACATTCTGAACCTGGCATGTGTTGTTTTTGCTCACGCCACCACGAATGGCGCGGAGCATTTCTCGCACATTTTTATACGAACACGTCCCACCGCCTTTCCCGCTGTTCCGGTCGACGCCTTGATGACTTTGGTGGGGTGGGGTGGGGGAATAATGTACGGGGCACAAGTTGCTCGGATGCTTGCTGTTGTGTGGTTTAGTCACAAGTTTTTTCCCGGACACAGTATCACGCAGGCCGAATTTGGACTTTACATTCCCTAGCATGTGTCATCGTATCTTGCTAATTACGACTGGTCCGCCGCTTTCAGAAAGGGTTTCGTCGAAGACGGTAGTTTTGGGCAGCCTTAGGCAGCCAGCGAATGGGGTCAGGGCCTTAGAGTTTTCTGCCCAGCAAAACATCTCTGGGTTTGCTGGGCGTGTTTCATTCAAGGTAGCCCTGATTTTAGATTTTAGAAGCATTTACCTGATACCTAGTCAAAGATATTGATGTGCCCAGGAGGGCGATGCCTTTGGCGGAGGCGGTGCGTGCATTGGCCTACAGAATCGTGTTTTAGAAGCAGACAGCTGCCACGGGCCTGGGGATATGCGGTGCAGGCAGGATGAGCATCGTGCACGATGAGGTGTAGGCAGTTGAGTGAGAAGCTTACCTCAGAACTGTTAGACCACTTCTCAAACCCGAGATTTGGTACGGCAGCAGAGCATTTCCAAGGCTCATTTCGCAAGAGGCTGAATCAGGGCAAGCCTCCATGAGTGAACTGCAGAGTAGGCATGGCTGTTCAGATACGGGTTTCTTTGCTTGAAATGATTTGGTTGCCTTTTGATGGGATGCGTAATGCAGGCTTGGATTTGTCGTCCTTCGTACCTGAGCGACGATGTTGGCAGCTACAGGGTGAAGAGAAAGGCTGCGCAGTTTTGTTTCGCAGCCCGTCGAAAACCACCGGAAAGCTGCACTTGTTTGCCCCTTCAACCCTGACGGCTGCTGCTGTTCATACATTCCCGACTGGAGTCAGCCTGTCCATGGCAGCTTGGCAGGACCTGGAAGCCTGACTCTGGCAGAAGCCCTGCATAGCCCCTGCTTCATGTACGCACGACTAGCTAGTACAGTTGCTTGTGATGTGGCTCATTTGGATCCTGGGGGCTGTGTTCCGCAGGGCTGCCTGCAATCAATTCGAGTGTGGCAGAGCGCTGACATTTTTTCTATTGAATTGATAGGAAGAACTCTCATGTTGCTTTGCACGTCAGCGTCAAATTCACGCGAATTTGGCGTGCAGTAATTGGGGGTGGGGTTGCATGGTCCATGGGTGCACTGCGCTTCTTTCATTGGAAAGAGGTAAGCCATAACTTGGTCAAGCAAATGCAGAATATCGGGGAAGTGCAGTCCTTCATGCCTCTTGGCTTCTGCGCTGGCAGTGCCCTACAGCAGAGTGGGGGGCAATCAAAACTCTACTCAAGTAAGGAGATCATTTGCCTACCAAGTCGGATAGCAACTGCCCGCATGCGGGAAGGAAGCCAAGACCGTCGCCATGAAAGGCGATCACCTTAGCCTGCCCTGTCAGCCCAGCTTCGCCCAATGCGCGCTTGACGGCTGGCCACCGGTCTCGGCGAGCTGAGATTCGAGTAAATGTCCAACACAGCAGGGACTAGTGTCCGTTAGTTTCGTTCCACCGATCGTGCGCGGCAACGATGATTGTGGACCCAACGGACACAGTGGAGACAGGTGCCGGGCTCAGCTTGTCCACTGGATGATGGGAACAGATGCGGGTCCATCATGCTTTCTTATGACTCCTGGTGCGAGCTTTGTGCGATACAGACTTCATTGGCAAAGCAAGGGAGAACAACATTATCATTACTGCTCGGCTTGCTGCCGCGACCGAATGTTTGCTCAAACAGATGCGATTGCGCACAAAACAGCAATGTGGCAGGTAGTGGGCCACTTTGCAACTTGACACGTCCCGCGAGCCTGGGCTTCCTTGCCTTGAGTCAACTTCAGTCCCGCAAAAAAAGATCAGCTGCAATCTGCACCCGAGACAAACAGGCTTGTCCGACTCGGAAGACTTCCATCAGCGTAGCTAGGCTGAAAAGGTGCAGAAGGTGGGCTAAGGAAGCAACATGTTCGACATTTGTGGTCACAAAATGGAAAGTCGATGCTTCTCTATATTTGACTCCTCAAGTTGCATTTACACTGAACAGGGAGCTGGAGAGCCCGCACGCCCCTCTGTCTCCGGTTCGACACGGCTTTCTCGTCTCCGCAATGCCTGGCCACGGCCGGTCGCCATGGCGGCTTTCGCACAGGCGTCCGTGCGCTGTGTCATCTGCGCTTTCAGAGTTCTGCTTGAGGATCCTTGAAAGTGTGTATACAGACAGTATATATCTCTATATCTCTATATATATCTTTTGTATGCGCTTTGGTTGTATGCTTTGAATCGGAGTTGCTTGAGTCGTATTGCGGAGATACTCTGGGCCATTTGTTGGACTCTGTGTGAAACGATGTTTGCATCGGCAGCTCATACAGAGTCATACATTTACCCAGGGCAACTTGTTGGTGAGATGACTGATCTGTCAGGCAACCCGTGGCAATCCGCTTTGTTGGAGCGGGTGGTTCTCCTACGAGATTCTTGGACATGCACTCGGGGAGGGTCAAAAGCCAAACGGGCACTTTGCCTTTGACTACTAGTTTGTCAATCGCTTTCCGTGCGCTTGGTTGCCATAGGGTACTGTGGAGCAAGGAACTGGGATCCCAAGGGCTCCTGATACTTGTTCCAGCCAGGTTTTGCAGCTGTTTCCTTTGCTTTGCACTATACTTTGGACGTTTTGCCAGCCAGCGGCCTTGTTTGTCTTCTATTCCTCATTCCTTGCTTTGGTTTGGTTCCTTTTTTAGAGGCTGGTTGAAATTCGTGGCTGGCACAAAGTGAGGCACCACTGGTCATCACTTTCTCTACACTGGTTTTTTTAATGAAACAATCACTACAAGCTGACAGTATGCTTGAACGCTGCCACATGACATGCCTTTTTTTTCACATGGCGGCCCCTTGGAAGCCTGATAACGCATCATGGCAACATATCCGTGGAGACCAACAAGTGTACAGCTAGGCTGGACAAATCAAAGAACCAAGTAACCTTTTCGCATTTTGTTCTTATATCTTGCTTCGTTAAGATGGCTTGCGTCATTGGGCAAGCTTTGGTTTTGGCCAACCGGGCATATCCTTTGTCCGACCTATCAAAGGAGATGCTGCAGCCATGAAGGACTGGGAAATCCCTCCTGCTGGACGCCGGACTTCACATACGATCTTTGCTGCCAGCCAACGCGATATATGTCCGGAACATCGGAGACCTGTGCAAATCGCTATGAAGGCCGGGGTCACACCATCACGTCATCACATGAGGCTCGGCCAGACTTATTCATTTGGGAGCGACATGGGGGCCTCACTAAACTTTAGAGCCTCCGGCTCAGTCCGCCGACATTGTCCTCTCCCTTTTCTCCTTCTTCCTCTCTTCCTTGTCTCCCTTGTGTGTTCTGTCGTCCTCTCTCCCTCCCTCTGCTCCCATCCTCCCCATCCCCCCAAGCCTCTCTCTCCCCAATCTCCCTCTCTCGTATGTATGCATGCATGTACATAAGTATGTATGTATGCATGTATGTATGTATGTAGGTATGTATGTATGTATGTACGTATGTATGTATGTATGTATGTAATGCTTACATTTAAGTAAGTAAGTACGTAAGTAAGTATGTACGTAATGTATGTATGTATGTATGTATGTATGTATGTATGCATGTATGAATGTAACGTATGTATGTATGTATGTATGGAATGTATGTATGTATGTATGTATGTATGTAATGTATGTATGTATGTATGTATGGATGTACGTATGTATGTATGTATGTATGTAATGTAATGTAATGTAATGTAATGTAATGTAATGTAATGTATGTATGTAATGTAATGTAATGTAATGTAATGTAATGTAATGTAATGTAATGCAATGTAATGTAATGTAATGTAATGTAATGTATGTATGCATGTATGTAATGTAATGTAATGTAATGTAATGTATGTATGTATGTATGTACGTACGTACGTATGTAATGTATGTATGTATGTATGTATGTATGTATGTATGTATGTATGTATGTATGTATGTATGTATGTATGTAATGTATGTAATGTATGTATGTATGTATGTATGTATGTACGTATGTATGTATGTATGTATGCATGTATGTATGCATGCATGTATGAATGTATGTATGTATGTATGTATGTAATGTATGTATGTATGTAATGTATGTATGTATGTATGTATGTATGTAATGTCATGTCATGTCATGTCATGTCATGTCATGTCATGTCATGTAATGTCATGTAATGTAATGTATGTACGCATGTATGTATGTACGTATGTATGTAATGTAATGTAATGTAATGTAATGTAATGTAATGTAATGTAATGTAATGTAATGTAATGTAGTGTAGTGTAATGTAATGTAATGTAATGTAATGTATGTATGTATGTAATGTATGTATGTATGTATGTATGTATGTAATGTATGTATGTATGTATGTATGTATGTATGTATGTATGTATGTATGTATGTATGTATGTATGTATGTATGTATGTATGTATGTATGTATGTAAGTAAGTACGTAAGTAAGTATGTATGTACGTAATGTATGTATGTATGTATGTATGTATGTATGCATGTATGAATGTAATGTATGTATGTATGTATGTATGTAATGTATGTATGTATGTATGTATGTATGTATGTAATGTATGTATGTATGGATGTATGGATGTACGTATGTATGTATGTATGTATGTATGTATGTAATGTAATGTAATGTAATGTAATGTAATGTAATGTATGTATGTAATGTAATGTAATGTAATGTAATGTAATGTAATGTAATGTAATGTAATGTAATGTAATGTAATGTAATGTAATGTAATGTAATGTAATGTAATGTAATGTATGCATGTATGTATGTATGTATGTATGTATGTATGTATGTATGTATGTATGTACGTACGTATGTAATGTATGTATGTATGTATGTAATGTATGTATGTATGTATGTATGTATGTATGTATGTATGTATGTATGTATGTATGTATGCATGTATGTATGTAATGTATGTATGTATGTATGTAATGTCATGTAATGTAATGTCATGTCATGTCATGTAATGTAATGTAATGTAATGTAATGTATGTACGCATGTATGTATGTACGTATGTAATGTAATGTAATGTAATGTAATGTAATGTAATGTAATGTAATGTAATGTAATGTAATGTATGTAATGTATGTATGTATGTATGTATGTATGTATGTATGTATGTATGTATGTATGTATGTATGTATGTACGTATGTATGTATGTATGTATGTATGTAGGTAGGTAGGTAGGTAGGTATGTATGTAATGCATGTATGCATGTATGTATGTATGTATGTATGCATGCATGTATGTATGTATGTATGTTTGTGTGTATGTAATGTATGAATGAAATGTATGTATGTATGCATGCATGCATTCATGCATGTATGTATGTATTTCCCGCAAAAAAACACGGTTTTTCCAGCGTTTTCGCAAAGAGGACGTCCAAAAACATTGAGTTTTTCCAGATTTTCGGCAAAAGGATGCAGGAAGCCCAAGCCAGCAAAAAAGCCGGCAGGGGGAATCGAGCCTGGGACCCCTGTTTTGCGACACCGGCTCCCCGAAGACTACGTTTAGTGGAACGTCATCAAATTGCCGCGCGGTACGTGGGGGACCCCCCCCCCAAAAAAAAACCTACGTAATAGACGTCGGGCGGGGGGGGGGTTAGGGGGGGGGGTTATCCTCTATCCTCTAGTAAGTATCCGACACGCCGAGCAATGTCGGCGGATTTCCTACAAAAATCGACTCACTCGCTAAATAAGCGTCCATGTCTTTTTGGAGGAGCAAGCAATTCTAACCAAGGCTTGTGTGAACAGTTGCAGTGTAGACACATGGTCGGGAATGGTGTTTCGGCCTTGAGACTCGGACAGCTTCAAGCCAGCTGTTTCACGAGACCGCCACTTTGAGCAAGTCCAAGACGCGAAAGTCTCAACGAAAGCCAGTTTTTGCCAGTTTCCGAGAAGCATGGAGAAGAGGCCGATGTTACAATCATTCAAGAGGGTGCGTCCGACCTTGAGGCTTTTTGAGGAACTATGGGGACCACTCTGGAGGTCAGAGCACCATCATTAGAGACGGCCATCTGCCCGGCGAGCTGTTGCAGAAACACGCAGAGGAGATTGATTTGGACATTACGCGGGGCTACCAAGGCCAAGGCAGGGCTTCCCGCAGCTTTGGATGTGGCCACTGGAATTAGCTTGTCAAATTGTCAAACTCTCGGTGTTTGGAGTTTGAGCTTCATTTGGAGTTTCGGGCGTGCTTCACCGTCCGTTTCTTTTGGCTCTCTGGTGACAGTTTGCGCATTTGGCGCATTCGGCGCATAGGTACCGGGGAGTTCTGGTTTGAGCTCTTCAGGGCAGCCAGCCTGAAGCAGATCGCCTGCTGGCAACTGGGCGGCCGCTCCTGGGAGGCACGGGCTCGCTACCCGGGTGACTCGTTTGGATTGTTCTGGGACCTTCACGCAGTCGTGCAAGGGCTCAGTCAGTTTTTGTTTGGTACAGTCTTTTTTCTCTCTCAGAGTGTCTTGGTACAGAGCATGGAGTTCCTGTTGGACACAGGCGAGTGCTGGAATGTAAAGAGTTTTGACAAGGACTACGTGGATAGATGGTTCTGGGAAATGCACACTCTGTCCGCTGGTTTGTAGTTTGCTGGTGACTGGTTCGTCCGTGCATGCATTTATTCCACTCGATGTGCAAATGGGACAAAGCAACTTCCTTGGCCACTAGCAGCTGCGATCCTACCCATGCCGTCTGATGAGAAGCAATGGTTACATGCCTTCCTGAGATTAATTGAGTTGCAACGAAGTTTGTCACAGAAGGTTGAACAAACTGTTCGGTTCTGGATGATTAATCTGTTGGTGGACACGCCACCTCCCTCCAGCTTTGATGTGCAACTCCTTGCCAGGGGTTGCTTTATATTAGGCTTATTTTTGGCAGGGTGTTGTCACGTTTGGAATTGTAAGACTGCTTCTGTTTGGCCAACGCATGTGTTGACCAGGCTGCTTCCGAGCATATCATTCATATATCAACAGGGTTAAAGTTGGCAGCCTGAAAGTTCTTGTGTTACCTACAGTGCTTCATGTTCAAACTGGGGCGGACTCCACTTTGTAGTCCATTGCAAGATCGCTCAGCGAGGCTGAGTTTGAGACGAGCTCCTGGGAAGCGACTTTGAAGATTTGCAGGACTGGACTGACTGCTTTGCCACAGAATTTTCGAGTGTCCATGTGTGCCCCCAAGCAGTGCGAGCTGGAGGATATCTGTGGCATTGTGCTACCGCGGTACTTCCAGTGGGACATTTGCCCTGAGACCTATTTCCCCCCACTTCCGGTTTCTCAGGTGCAGTTGTACGAACTGTCCTCCTGGAGTTCTCTGCATCTGGACTTTGGGATCATTGGCATGAACACCTGCGGCACGACTTCCCTGCAGAGGAATTTGGCCCTGCACCCAGAGATTTCCTTCACCTCGGAGGGCGAGGACGACTTCTTCGTGCCCGGGGGATATCCCATGAGGTTCTCCGGCAGCATCCGAGTCCTTCCGAGGGCCAAAAGCGCGAGCAGCGCCAATGAGGCATGGAGCATGCGCCGGAAAGAGCTGCTGGGGGTCAACAACCCCAACCTCTTCTACACCCAGGAGCCCAGGAATTTTCAGGTTGTAGGCAATCCACCCCCTTTTTCAGAGAACGTGCCAATCTGCAATTCCCTGAGGAAGGTCTTCAAGCCATCGCCAGGATCCCGAAGATCCGCCTGGTGCTGATTCTGTGCGACCCAGTGAGCAGGGCGGAGAAGTTGCACTACTTGCACTGCCGCCGGAGTGGCTGGGGCACCAGCCGCTGCCAGGAAGAACTGGCCAAAGCGGTCTCAGGAAAGCTGCCCTACAGCTGGAGGGTGTATGATCATTTGCTCGACCTCAGCAGACTTATCCGGCTTCAAAGCTTGACGGTGTTTGTGATACATCAGGAGAGAGCGGCAACTCTCTTTTTGGTTTCGGTTGTGTGGGATGGGCTGGAGCTTTCCCAGTGTACAACAGTTCTTCGATACGCATGAAGGTGTCTTTTTGTTCACTGACCAGCGACCCAGGAGTTTCTGCGCGATCACGAGTTTGAGGTGTATGACTCGATCGCAAACTACCTGGGTGTCAAGGCTCCATTTCCAGACAGCACTCAGTTCGGAAGATACAACTCGATTAGAGGCGGGACACACAAGGCTTGAAGCTCCCAATCAACAATGGCCGCCAGAAGAGGTCGAGTAGCCAGCTGGCATAGATTCCTTAAGAGTCTGACTGTATTATTGTGCGACGATCCAGAGACATCCTTGCCCCTGGTCTTGCAGTTTGATACGGACAATTGTGCTCCTGCAGGGCAGCGGACTGGTCTCTGCAGCAACGTGTCTTTGCTGCGCAGGCTGGGGCATCGGAGCGATTTCGCTTGTGATGCAAGGAGTTTCTTCGTCCTTGCTTTCCATAACATTTCCAGGGCATGTTTCCACATGGCCATGTCTTGAGGCATGTTATTTTGGAATCAGGATGAAGAAGCGGATGGCTCCGGACTATGCTGCAATCGAGCGCATGGTGGAAGCGCCTTGACGTAGAGCTTGAGGATAAGTTTCACGCACAGCCCTGGTGTCTACGTCAGGTGTTAAGGCTCCAAGAGATGCCGAAACGTAGATTGAAGGTTGTGAGGCCTTGAGCCCAGGCTGTTTGTCTTGGACATTGGAGTTGACTCGGAGCTCAGTCTCCAGCTTTTTCTTCGAACATTCTGAGGCAATGTACGGCCGAATCCCACCAGCTGTGCGACTGCGCCGAACGAGATGCGACGATGCGTCAAGTCTGAGCGCCACATCCTGTCCCAACAAGACAATGTGCCAATGAATCCCAGCACTTGTGCTGTGCTTGGGAGCCGCGCTGAAATGGCCAATGGGCAGGAAAATGAGTGAAAGGCTTGAGCTTGACACTCGCTGCGTCAAATTGCGGCTTTCCCACAGAGACTGCAATATTTGCCGAAGCTTGTCTCTCTCAGTCGTTTTCTGACAAGCACCAAACAGAGCTTCATATATTGTAGTGACCCTCTTGACATTGGAGCAGTGCTTTGGATGGCGGCCCCGTGCTGCCCCGCTGGATCTCATGGGGCGGCCCCTCCGGATGACGTGGACCTGCAGGGTTCCTGGGAGAAGCATGCGGACCTGGACTGCTACATGGTGGGCGAGAAGGATGCAAACTCCGGGCATGGTAATTGAGAACCGGAGTAAATATCTGAGACCCCAATTCTCTGCGAGCTGGCAACTTGCAAGGATTGAACGGCTCACAGTAAAACATCCACTCGGGTTGAACGGGGGTCATCAACCATGAGAGGGTATCCTTCTCACAACCACCATATCATTTTGCACGTCTTGCAAGTGAACTCCTTGTCACTTTCTGCAACTTCTGCCAATCAATGTTTGAAGGAGAAGCCCAGCAGTGTGATTTTCGCGTTCAGTGATGTGTTCGGCGTCCTCTCCGGGCGCCACCGTCGGATATGCGACGACATAGCTGCCTCTGTGCCTGGCAGCCTGGTGTGTCTTCCCGACCTCTTCCATGGCGACCCCATTGCGCCGGACTTCTCGGACTCAAGGTTCCCAAGG